TGGACTAATACTGAAAGATCTTTAAGATTATGTAATTTATGTAACAAAAATACTTTGGGGGATGAATTTCACTATATAATGGAGTGTCCATATTTTTTGTCTTTACGGGTAAAACTTATTGATAAGAAGTATTGTTTTCATGTAAATACTTATAAATTTGAGAAAATTATGTCCATCACAAATGTTGATTCACTGTTTAAACTGTCTTGTATATAATTATGTAAATATGTTCCTGTACCTCATATGCCATTGTATGGTCTGAGTGTAAATAAACAAACAAAAAACTTCTTGATCTTTGAAAACGGTTTAAAATCCAGACAAGGCATATAAAGGAATGTAATAAAGACAATGCAAATCACATTCTGACAATGACTGTGTTAAAGAGTGTGCATTATATATCAGTTCGATATGGATGTCCTTATAACCTCTGGTACCTGAAGGTGCCTTTTGCAAATCTGCTTCATACCTTGTGTCTTCTTGTCTGCAGACGAAGGTTGATTTCTAACTATACATTTGATGCCTCCCCCTTCCTCACTGCGATTACAAAAGGGTACAATGCATGTGTATATTCATATAAATTTTATTTTGTTGTTGAAATTGATTTTGATCAATAAGCATAACGAGTTGACGTAAATATGGGGAAAAATATCTAAAGACAGTGAAATTTAGTTTTTTTTTTAAAGATGACAACTTAACTTAAAACTTTAACGAGCGAAACAGTGTCCAAACTCTCCAAACAAGACACATGTTCTTGTACAGTCTGCCGAAAGAAACTTTCGCTAATGTTACAAGCAGTGACACATAATCTAAAAGATTAACAATAATTTATCCTTCAAAATATATCTTGGCCAGTCTAGCGTTCACCTCGTCATCGATCACAACGTTCCTGGAGAGAATGCTACCGAGGTACGTGAACTTGTCCACTACATTTAGCCGTTGGTTGTTGATGGTGATGTTGGGATCAACATACGGTTTGCCTGGTGCTGGCTGGTGCATGACTTCGGTCTTCTTTATGCTGATAGTAAGGCCAAAGTTGTGGCAGGCATCAGAGGACTTGTCAACGCTGTGCTACATATTCACCTCGGAGGTAGCGTTGAGGGCAGAATCATCAGCAAACAGGAGGTCGTTGATGGTGTCCGATTGAACCTACTTCGCTTTTAGACGTCTGAGGTTGAAGACTGAGCCGTCAAAGCGCCATTTGATGCCAATACCAGTGTCCGTGCTATCGAAGGCATCAGTCAGCATACCGGAGAACATCAAGCTGAAGAGCATCGGGACAAGGACGCAGCCCTGCTTCACTCCATTGGAGACAGAGAATGGCTCTGAAGATTCGCCGCCGTCTTGGACTCTCGCCTGCATCCCATCGTGCAGCTGTCGAACGATGGTGATGAATTTTGTTGGGCATCCGTACCTCGCCATGATTCGCCAACGGCCTTCTCTGCTATAAGTGTCAAAACCCTTGGTCAGATCGACGTAAGTGGAGTACAGGTCGGAGTTCTGTTCCTGACACTTCTCTTGCAGCTGACGTGCAGCGAACACCATGTCGATTGTACCGCGATTCTTCCGGAAGCCGCACTGACTCTCGGGCAGGAGGCCATCCTCAAGGTGTTTAATGAGACGGTTAAGTAGAACCCGCGCTAGCGTCTTGCCTGCGATGGAGAGAATTTTAGGGAAATCCCATGGTGGTTGTCGCAGGCCTGTCTATTTCCCTTTCGCTTGAACAGGTGGATGATTGAGGCATGCTTGAGGTCTTGAGGCACCTTCTCTTGGTCCCAAATGAGCTCAGACAGATGGTGGAGTTTATCGACGAGAGCCATGCCCCCTTCTTTGTAAATCTCAGCTGGGATGGAGTCTCCTCCAGGTGCTTTGCCAGTTGACGACAGCCTTATTGTTTCTGGATCTCTTCCAACGTGGGAACGGCGTCCAATGACTGGTTGATGGGAACCTGGGGCAGTCGGTTGATGGCTTCGTCGTTGATGGTAGAGGGACGGTTCAGAACACCATTGGGGCAGTGGGCAGTAACTCACGACCTGCAATGGCCTGACGCCCCTTCCCTCCACTGGTCCGGGTAGAGCGAACCCGAAAACTCTTAAGGGAGATTCCTCTAGGAGAGCACTCTCTAGACAAAGCCCTGACGGGTCTCAAACCCCCGTTGATTGAGGGATTGCCTACCTACAACGCATGTAAAGACTGTGTACCGGCGGACTCCGCGGAGGAAACCGTGAGGGAATAAGTAGCCAAAATGAGAACATCATGTCTCTGAGGTCATGCTCAAATGCCGAACTCATTCGGTCATACGTGGAAAAATAATACGGAAAGCTTATTTAGTAAGCCCGCCCGACGAAGTTGTTATATAGAGACATTTGGAGTAAGAAGTTGATCCATACCTAGCGGGTTCGAATGACGTGGGGATTGGTCCTTCTGGACCGTATAGACCCTCAGACCTAGTCCTAGGCTGCTATTGCACTAGGTGCAGACACGAAAGAGATTCTTCGCTGTAAAAGGTTCCAAGTGCCGAGTACAAGTTTAAATTGGAAGGAATCAGGTACAATGTAGAAGCAAGCATCTCCTGCTGACCGACAACATCTGCCGAGTGCTTCAGGTAAATGGAGAAAGAATCCGTGTAATTTAAAATGAAATTGGTACTAGTATGTCATACGTATCTTTCTATTGTAAATATTCAAATATGAAACTGATTTACCAGACTCTGTGGGTTTTTTTTTTTATTTCGATCTTAGGCCAGTTGTAGGCATAAGAATGAGTGTTGTTTATTGAAAAAAGGTCGTCGATATATTGAAGACCACACCAAGAGACTTCCTCTTTACTTGTAGAAGTTCTTCATAAATCTGCCTCATATGAATACATATGAATATATATGAATTAAAAATCGGGTCTGTTTATGACGTAAAGCAAACTGTACCCATGGGAATCCCAACAGATAGTTGGAAAACCTGGGGCCAGTTTTGCAAAAGAACTTGCAAATAAGACCAAAATTTGATTCTACATTTAACTTTTTGATTAACATTATATTGACAACGGTTTTAATCTTTTTAAAAGGAATAGAAAGTTATGTCAACAATAGCAACTTTAAACAGAACAATTAATTTCACAGTGAAATAAATGTAGGAAAATAAATAAGAAAACTGTCTACAAGTATATTTTAAAAAATAATTACACTAAAAAGATATTTTTCTTGCATGTACATATATTCATTTTGACACAGAGTGTAGAAATATGCCACTATTCTTTCAATTACATGTATAACCCTAGCAACGTTTCATTATACTGGTATCTTAACAATCTCAGTGAGCCAACTTCCTTTAAGTTGCCTGCCTTTTAGTAATAATAAGTTGCCTGGCTTTTAGTCATAAGAATTAAAATGTCTGTTACCCAAGCTTGCTTTGATAATGTCCTGGAAAATATTTATCAAAAGAGAAGTCCTGAACATGTTAGTTCTTTTTGGGCTTTTTGGGCTTTCATTTCGATAATATTTAAGTCTGTAATGTTCAGTGTTAATGGGAATACTACCTGTATTTGTTCGGTTATCAGTAGACTATATACATATACCTATTCTTCTCGTCATTTATCAGCATTTAATTTTATTGCAAAGATATTTACTCATGGTGCAATTAAAAAAAGAGCCATGTGGTATAGTTGAATTTTTCATACCTAATTATTTAATCAGGTAATATATTTGCTTTACATACTTAATTAATCAGGTAGTATTTGCCTTGCATCTAAATTTTTCTTATCATTGTAAAATTATTAAATGCCCCCTTGTGAAACCATTTTTGTTATGCTTATGAGAGGGCTACTATACAGCATTGGTATTTATCTCACCTTCTACTGTAGTAGTCAGAACGGCATTTTTATGGTACAATACATGTAGGCTACAGAATACAGAGATCGTGATGAAAATGTACTTCAGCATTTTTGTTATCAAAGACTCTGCTTAAAGAATGAACTATTGAGATCATTTATTACCATAAGCATAAGTAAAACACGTCACATTCAATAGAAGCACCTCATAGAATTAACAATTCCTTACGGACTTTAACGGTACATCGTAAGTACAAGTTATGAACAAAAAGGGATACGGTTAATTAACCTTGTAATATTTGTACTTTCATTTTTTTATTAGATAACCCGCTCAAAGGAAGTTTAATCTGTGCTACAAATACTTCAAAGCACTTTGGAACTTTGTTGGCATGGAGAAGTTAATGAAAAGCTTGTCATATTCCAGACCCAATATAGAAATCATTGGAATAAGTACTTTAAACACAAGACGACAATTTTTTTTCCAGTCATCGTCTTCTATGTTGAGTCGAGAGGCCGGGCAGGCATACCATTCAACATCTTATCAATTCTGCAAATTTGGTGTTATTCTGTCTGTACTACATACTAAGTAATTGTCTATTGAGCTAGATTGTATTCGAACGTAAAACTTGTTTTAATATTTATTATTACAGATTTTCGCAACTTTTGAAATCAACGGTCTTCTGCATATATTAACTCTTCCTTGGACTGCATGTAATATATGGAGATAAAGAACAGTATTCAAGCTCAAAGTCAATTAAACAATACAATATAGGAGCAGAGCAAACATGGTCCTCTAAAACATCAGAGGTGCCATGGAGGAGTAAGCATTCCCTGCCGACCGGTCACACCCGCTGTATGTTCCTTGTCATGATCGGGAAATAACGGAAAAATCCGAAGTCAATTCATGCAGTATGTTTATAATGGCCTAATAATTAGTTTGAAAAATGTCAGTCACCATTTGACATGGTAAATTGTATTTGCTGACAAGGCCATTGTATCGACATTTTCATACTAATTGTTAGGCCATTATATATAATGGCCTAACAATTAGTATGAAAAATGTCAGTCAGCATTTGACTTGATATACATTGAATTTGCTGACAAGGTCATTGTATCGACCATATATATATTTTAATAATTTGTAAATATCAATTACATGTTTTATTTATATCCGTGGAATGTATTCTAATACTAATATGCAATGGGCCTCAAAAAGAGAATATAATACTAGAGATATCATAATATAAAAAAGTAAAAAATATCAAAAAAAAAAAAAAAAAGAAGCTTTTCGCGGTATCAAACTCAAAATGTATGTGTTAACAATAAAGTTCCAAGTCTATGAAAATGTCCTCAATATCTCTACATATACAAACAACCATTCCCGGCACTATATGTCTCTGAATTGATCCAGTTAAAACAATGTGATCCCCTTAATGTTATTTTAGATTGCACATGTTCAGAGGTTATTGTGAGATAAACAATAGAAACAGTAAAACTAGAAGGGGAACGTGATCTACAGAGAAGTGTCTGGCGGAGTTTGCGTACACACTGACGGTTCTTCCGTTAATGGCAAGCGGTGGGCGGAAGTTGTCGACCATTGGTTTAGTGGAACCGGAATCTTCATACAGGGCACGGAAGGAAGCCAGCTACAAAAAAAAAGAAATTAGCACAAATAAATGAAACGTTCTCATGGTTAAATATGAATAACGTTGAGACGATGAAATCAAGGTATAGTCTCAAGGCAAATAATATCTATGGATGCTAAATAGTAAAGAAGTCAATTTGTTGCGAGTTAATGGAAGAACTTAATGTCAGTATTACTGTATGGCTGAATTCATCCTCACTACGTCAGAGGTCCCGAGTCGACACGTTACCGTTGTATAGCGACGTGTGACTCGGGACTTCTGACGTGGTGAGGATTGATTGATTGATTGATTGTATGTTATTTTACGTCCCATTCGAGAATTTCTCACTCATATGGAGAAGTCACCATATACCAGTGAAGGCTTCACTCGGCACTCAGGGCCACTGAGCAGTGAGGGATCTTTATCATGCCAACGCATGCCGTGACACGGTATTTCGGTTTATAACTTTATACTGTCTCATCGGAAGGACCGGTCTCAACGTCCCCCAGTGGCATTCGAATCCGCGACGTAAGGTTCAACTCTGTACTCAGTGACTCTAGAGCAAGCGCTTTACCCACTGCGTCACGCGGGCAACGACGTTGTGGGGATTATGGAATCCGGATAGGGACATGCAGTTCACTATCGCGCCATCGAGCATGATGGTGCGATGGTGCAATAACGATGAAGCGATGGTGCGATGACAATGGAGCGATAGTGAATATCGCTTCATCGTCATTGCACCATCGTAATCGCACCATCCTGTCATCGCTTCACCGTGCTATCGCACCATTGTCATCGCAATGTCGTACCATCGTCATCGCGTTATTGCGCCATAGCTTCATCGTTATCGCACCATCGCGTCATAGCACTATCGACCTAAACCTCGATGGTGCGATCATGCGATAGTGAATTGCATGGTCCTATCCGGATTCCATAGAGGGCAGAACAAGTTGTAGTTTTTGCGGCGGTTGATCAAATGAAACGTGATTATTGTGACGAGCAATAGTATACTAGTATATGTGATGAGAATTAGCATAAAAGTGGCATTTGGAATAATCCAATTTGTCTGGACATAGATATATAGAATTTAGCAGCTATTTATAGATGACAGAATTTGGGAATGGTATTTCAAAGAATACACAAACCATGCATATTAGAAATCACATGATAAATACCCGTAATAGATAAAACAGATATGTAACATATGTTAAAACTGTAATAAAACAGAATTAAGCATTGTTAAATCCAACGAAGCAAAGACGTCCAAAAACAAAAGATACTGAACATGAACTGATTCTGTATTTGTATTATGCTCACCTGTGTTTCTGACATGGATAAAGAGTCTGCAAATACTGTCCACGTGACACTTTCGTCACAGGTGGGCGTGGTTAGACTGCCTTTGTAACGATAGAACTTTGACATACTGGCAGTCATGATGTCTTTTAGTTTCAGACCGGTGATTGATTGCGTCGCATCTATAAAAGGAGTTCTGTATCGGTTAAAAAGAAGATAACTCGTATTTCCAGTTATAGGAATGACATATCGTTGCATTAGTTTTACCTTTTGCTGTGACACTGCTTAGACCACTAACTATTGGAGCAAAGTTTGCATTATCAGAACTACCAACCTGCAAGAGTATCATTAAGAACAAAATATGTGTGAGTAAAGTCTAGAGACATGCTTCCCAAATATCTGATTTGTATTAATTTTTAATATACAACAAAGGAATCACCATCTAAACTGTTTTCAAAATTCATTAACAATAACATAATGTGTAACGGACAACTGTGATATTAGTAACGCTAGTGATTTCCTAGAGTATTATTAGATATATATGCACAAATGCCTGATAAGGTACCCCTTTTTTTTTTTTATTTGGAAACCTGTTAAAATAGCAATAATTAATTGAATCTTGGGGAGAGAAATTATTTATTAATGAAGAATATGTCATCTGACCTTAGCACCACTTTAAATTTTCTGGTACATCTAGCAAAACGGTTTGAAATTTGACTATAGCCAAGTTTTGTTTCATGCTTAATTATATAAGTCGCTTTCATGTGAAATTTTCTATGATGTTATGATGTTCAAGTTTCCTAGGGATTGTCTGAATAAGCTCAAGATACAGTTTAAATAAAGCTCATGATTTACATACTCGCAACTTCAACTAAAATCTTCTTTAATGAAACACATCATATCCGTACTTACTTTCGTTACTTTTGGAGTGACAAGAAGTTTAGCTTTCATGGTAGAAAAATGCTGTGTTCTCAGTGAAGAAATAAAAAAGTCAAAGTTTTCGTTGGCACTAATGAGAATGCTTCGTCTGACAAAGCGGTGAATGGAAGACATGTAGCTATATTTTAGGTGATTATGAGGTGATAACCAAACTATTTGCACGCGATAATTGGCAAACTTGTGCTTAGACTATATCTCTGGTCATCTTCTCTAGTTAGAGATATAGTATACTGTGTATGTATTAATAATGTCTGAAGAAAATCTTCCACACAACCACCTCATCTTGCAACTTCGATATGAAAATTTTCACAGAATGAACATTGAATAAAGCTTGACATGTAAACACTTTTACTGAAGTAGATATCGAATTGCCATAATTTTGCAAATACACATTTTTAAAAATACCACCCTATCATATTGAAATTATGGTGGGTAATTTTGTAGAAATACCTGTATAAAAAATCCCAGCACTGCTAGACCGTCAGATTGGGACAGTGCTGCATTGAGATCGGCGTAGGACGAATTGTACGTCACAATGTGAAGCTGAAATTCCAGGTAGTTTAATTAATAAGATTGTTAAATCTGAGACAAATTACAGTCTTAGATTTAAAAAATTACTGTCTTACTAGTATCTAAGTGGACTTTTTAATAAATTATAGCGTTTAACACATTTACTTGAGAAATAAAGTATGGAATTAATTTCCTACTCAGGTTTGTAATCTACCTACACTTTCAATTTCCAAACGTCCGTTCATTGTCCTCGCGTATTCAGGAAATTAGCCTTTATTTATAATTGTTGGGAAAAAAAATCAATGAATCATCATTTTTTATGTAAGAAATAATGCCAGTGATTTAATACAATGAAGCGCATTGAAGTGGTAAAATTTTCCGTTCGAATGGAACGTTTTGAGCTATATTTAGAGTGTTTATTGTCATCTTTTGACACGCCCATTTCTTTAGAAATTGATAAAACGGTCAAGTTGTTTCTTCAAATACCTGTAGAACAGGTTTTCCATAAATATAATAGCCAATCAAATTGAGGATCTAAATAAACACCGAGTAAACACGTGTTCGACCAAAACAAGTGTTGTGGTAACTTCAATAGACATGATAAGTTCAAAAATATGTACATATTCGTTGCAATCTGTGTTTAACAGAAGCGGGGAGTATCTAACTCCCTCTTCTATTTCTTTTAAAGCTCCATTTCAGTGTAACTCATGATGCTTGTCGCGAAGAATGGGATGTCCTAAAACTACGACGAATATTACTTTCTCGTTTCTAAAAATATGGGCGTGTCATTATGTTATAATTGACCTTCAAAACATGACTTTCATTGTATCTGATGTGAAATAAGTCTACAGTGTAATGCCTACTTTTAACTCTTTACTCAATACAGTAAAACATCGTTTACTAAGAACTTGCTTATTGAATTGAACATATTTTATTGTATTATATATATACAAAAAGATTGGGCACAAGTTCTCAAAACTTATTATCTCCGTCTATATAAAGATTTTTTTTAATCCAACAGAAATGAAGACTTACTTTTCACTTTGGTTTTTAAACAGGGATAAAAAGTCTCGGATAGTAAAAAGCAACATTCGATTGTATATTGTTTAACGTCCCTCTCGAGAAATTTTCACTCAAATGAAGACGCCACCATTTGCCGGTGGAGAGCTGCAAATTTTGACCTATAATCGGCACTCGGGACCATTGAGCAGGGAGGGATCTTTTACGTGCCAGCACATACTGCGACATGGGACCTCGGTTTATACGGTCTCATCTGAAGGACCGATCTCCACGTCCCGCAGTGGGATACGAACCCACGACGTAAGGATTTAATTACTCCTTACTTCGCGACTCTAGAGCAGACGCTCTAACCACTGTGCCACGCGGGCGACTGCAACATTCGAGGTTCCAATCTTATATTCGAATTTCACTGTATCTCAACGATTTGATTTAGATTTTATCATTGAACTTGTTTTGTCTCATAGGTCCATTTATAAATTTAAGTGTGTCTTGTCTAATAGAGATTTTTAAAAAATAAATTGTTCTCAATTACATCTTTAAAAATGAAAAGATAAGTTTGGTATGTATATTTGAAACCGGACAATTTAGGTACATATAACTGCAGAATGTCAACTGATCATGTTTAAAGATGCAACTATGGACTTATATAAAATAAAAGTATATCGAATTACCATTTCCACAGAAACTTTTATATTGAAAAGCACACAGATTCGTATTTTCCGATTAACTTTTTATCTAAATAAAAAGATTTAAGAGTTTGACTTTTAGTTGCCATAGATAGTAAACTACTTAGTATTTGACGAAATTTTACATCTTATTTCGACTAACATCTAATGGCAAAAGCGTAGCCACTGCTTCTTTTAAAAATGGTTTCTGAACACAGTTTAAAAGTCTCTTTATTAGATGAAAATTGGTTAGTGAATGATTTTATAGCATTTTGACTGTTAGTGTAGGAAACCGAAAATAATATATTGGACCTGTACGAATGAAAAATAACAACTTTATTATACCCCCCGCTTGAAAAGCGGGAGGGTATATAGTAATCGTTAATTCCGTCCGTCTGTACGTCTGTCCGTCCGTCCGTCCGTACGTCCGTCCTTCCGTCTGTCCGTCCGTCTGTTACGCTTTGGGGTACCCATCTCTTATCCGCAACTCCTCTCATACCACTGAATGAAATTTGATGCAACTTTCACAGAATCTTTATTACATATTGCCATTGTGCACCTCCTATTTTACTTTTTGATACACATATTTTGGGTTTCCCGGCCACAGGAAAACATTTATATTTTATGAGCTCATCGCTCACAGTACCTCTAGTATTTTATCTGTTTTAAAGAACGTATACGCATTTTTCAGAACATTTAAACGTCGATAAAAAATTCAATCAAACGGTCTTATACAAGATTAACTAGAGATGTCCATAAAGTAGGATGTCCTTACGTTTTGCTGAGTCAGGATACGAGTAGACTAGTATCAGATTAATACAAACGCAAAGTTAAAGTGGATATATATGCTTTATAAAACACATTTAGACAAATTATTTACAAATTTAAAAAAAAGTTATTTTAATCCAGTGCTTGCCTCCATGGGATAGTTAGCGCCATTAAGGGTGTGTTCCGATCCTTTACTGGAGTCGTTCCCCCAGTGAAAATGAAACTGAGCCACCTTAAATGTCCCTCCCAGTCCCCCTCCCGTCACTGTTATAGCCTCGGTAAAGGTCACCTTAGCTAGATAAATGAAGATTAGTCACCAATCACGCTTAATAATATGATCTATAATAAATTATGGTAATTTTTGATAATGATTTAATAAATAATTGTAAATATTTTTTATCTGAAATGAGATTATTTTCCTCATTTTTAGAATTAGCGTATATCTGAACAAATGTAAAAAAAAAAAATACATTTAAATTTTCATATAAATTTAATTGCTGATATGTTTTCACAATAATTTAACATGTGAAAATAGATCAATATTGCCATTTAAGAATAAAAAAAAATCACTTAAAATAGTAAGATAATGTTTTAAATTTCATGAAATATATTACCCGAGTGTCCGTTGTTAGAAAGTGTTGCAGTCAAGGTAACGTCATCGCCCGTCAATGAAAACCCCTCAAACGAGGCGGGGGTCATGGAGGATTCCGTGAGAGCGATGGGGGACTGACTCGACCCCCCACAGTTACTGTAGGTAGAGGACCAGCTACTGGGATCACTGTAGTCCCAAGCTAAACAGATGGATATAAAATAAGTAAAAATAATGTACACCTGCAGAACGAAACCCATTTTCTCCGATAATGCTGGTAATTGGGCATCCGCTCTGGGTGGCAAGGGAAGCAGCGCGGGTATTTATATGGAAGAGAAGTATCCAATGATAATTCGCCTTAGATAACTTGTTTGTAAATTGATTTGTAAGCGGTAAAACACTAGCTTTGCATGGGGTTAAATATCTTGAACAATCTCATAAAATGTTTAATTTAATTTCCACGTCGAGTTTTCTGATGGCGATAGCGAATGTTTTAAATAGAGGACCAGAAAATGTCTGAGAAGTTACCGGTACATTAACTTTATGTTAAAACCATTGGATTTATATAGCAAATGTTCGCTTTTTCAACATACCAGTATAAAAATTTAGTTAAATCAACTCGGGAAAGAAAATTACACGTTTTTTCAAATTTACTTTTGTAATCTTTTACATGAAAAAATAAAATGAAGATGGTTTAAAAGCCCCCGTCTCTCTCTCTCTCTCTCTCTCTCTCTCTCTCTCTCTCTCTCTCTCTCTCTCTCTCTCTCTGGAATCCTCATCAAAGGATTCACAGAAAATAAATTGCAAAAAAAGTCCACGAATTTTTGTTGAGATGGGTTGTGGTTGGATAGGCAAATTTGAAATAGTAAATATTCCTGGATGCTGATTCACGCTATATAGCGATAGAACTGTAAGTGCAGATTACATATAAGAACAAAGATGTTGCGGTATAATTAAAAATTGTTTGATACCCACAGATGCATAATTAAAGGTCAAAATTCGAAGGATTGATATTAATATAGTATTTTATAATCCTAAATTATTTACATATCACAACATATTTTCTTTATTAATAAGGAATCCCGTTTTCTCCTAGAAATGACCAATCACGGTGAGAAATTATTACATTCATTTTCATAATAAAAAATAATCATAAAAATTCAAAGACAATTTTCGAAAACAAATTAATAACTAAATAAAGGGTCTTAGACGAAAAACGATTCGAACATAATCTGCCTTTGAAATTTTTAATCACATGAATTATAATTTACCATGCGTTGACTGAAGGTTACTAAGGGAAATGGCTAATATGAAAACTGATACCACAGGCTGACCACAAACTCGCTACAAAATAAAAAGATCAGACAAATTGGTTGCAACAAAATTTTCGGGGTCCCTTCAATTTCTTTTAAATATTCAAATGTTGAAAATTGTACTTGAAATTACTTTAACTCACTGCAAAATTAGCTACCATGCAGACAGCAATATCTCTTTTATACACATCAAGTAATTATAGATTTACAGTGTATCTGTGTTTTTTTTTATTATTATTAAAAATAAGTTTTCTGTGCAAGAGTTTTCGTTATCTTACCATGTTGAGTATCAGCTACAGTGAGATACAGTATATCCTATGCAGTGATGTTGAATATATACGATATTTTATTTAGCAGTACAAAAAGACGTGCAATATCTATCCAATGGAACAAATAAATAAATTATCCTATCCAGTTCTCTAAACGGAAACAATATCTTATCCAAAAGTATACACAGGCACAATTTCCTATCCAGTTTTCTTATATACAAGTAGGAGTATTCAGCAAAAAGTTCAATAACATGACTGAGAGTTTGACCAAGACTGAGAAAGCGATCAAATCAAATATAATTAAAAGTTTCAATGCCTCTTATTAATATAATGCTTTAATCTCTGTGAATACTTCTCTTTGGGTGGAATGTAGGACATTTGAGCACCACACTGACGTCACAAGATATTGAACTATCCACATGGAGGAAGACATTTTTTAATTCAAAGATCTGTCTTATTCCGAAGAAAAAAATCTTTTGATTTTTTTTGTGTGTGTGCTTAAAATAGTTCTATATTTCATCAAACCATTTGAACTTCCTAATTTTACATAGAAAAAAATCGCATTTACACAAGTCGAGATGAAAATTACCTACAGTTAAATTTCGCTATCCCGAACACGGATATCTCAACCATCATGGGAAAATGAACTGGAAGTCACAACATCTTTTTTCCTGAAGTTATTTCCCTGGATACATGTATATCGTTCCTTCGATATTTCGATTTTTTTAGGTCTCAAGAAGTTCGAAATACTAGTAGTATAATTAGCTATTTTATTTGCTATTTTATTTGCCTACTATTTGCTCTTTTTTACAGTTTATACATTCAGTGATTTATATTTACCAGGACTAGAGAAAAATTTGTCTAGAGAATTAAAAATATTTATAGCCCTCATTATTGCTTGGCTGATCAGTCCAGATTACTTAACTTTGTGCACTGGAAGGAGTAAAATAACTTAGGTTTATTTTTTGCCAATGTTATTTTTGCCTAGTCTGAAATGAACGTGTCCTTTTGATCTTCAACAGTTTAAAATATTCTGTTAATCGGTTATTTGTTGAACTCCTGCTTGAGTGTTTAATTGTATTTGTTTGTGAATAATTGTTGTCCTTGCCAAATAAACGTCTTGAACATGACCTTATTGTCCTCAAACACGTTGCCGTTTCTTAAAAGTGGGAGAAGTGGGCGGCCAGGAAAAAAAGAAAAATGAAAAAGTTACACATGTATTTGAAAACTTTGACAAGCAAAAAAAAAAAAGAAGGAAAAATGAGTTGGGAGAGTGGCTGATAAACTGTGCTTGTTCTTAGAATATTTGGGATTTTTTTTACTTGAAAAATTGTATTGAAGATTTTCATTCATTATCGAGAATTTACGGAAGCCCTGGAGGGACATTGACTTACTTGTTAAGACTTATTTGTTATAACTTCTTTGTTTTGACTTATTTGTAGTGAATATTTTGTTTTGTTGCTAGTTATAACTAAGTGTAAGAAAGCTATTACATGTAAGAACCTGTTGCTTGGCTTACCTTTATGAATAAAATGATGTTTAGTCCTTTTTCTACGGAAGCCCTGGAGGGACATTGACTTACTTGTTAAGACTTATTTGTTATAACTTCTTTGTTTTGACTTATTTGTAGTGAATATTTTGTTTTGTTGCTAGTTATAACTAAGTGTAAGAAAGCTATTACATGTAAGAACCTGTTGCTTGGCTTACCTTTGTGAATAAAATGATGTTTAGTCCTATTTTAACTGTGGTTTTTAATTGACGAAATATAGTTTAACGTCCAGTACAGCTGTGATTACTTTGTTATTTTAGCTGTTATAACTTAATTCTTATTTTTTGTTTCTTAAAAGTTATTACTTAATTTGTATCTTCCAGTTTGCGTAATGATTGAAGACAATAACATGACTACTATTTTATCTTGTCGTTGGTAATAAATTCAAGGGCATAATATTACTGGTGTCTTCTTTCCTGAAACTAAATTATGCCTCCATCTTTCATGCCACTTTTTTTGTGAAGTAAATATGTTATAACAAATCTAAAATAACACGAATTCAAAGTAAAGTCATAAGAACTAACTCAAAACACATAAGAAGTAAGTCAATATCCCTCCAGGGCGTCAATAATAAACAGACAAAAATTTAGTAATCACATCAGTTCTGTACGTTGAACTACAAAACTACAATAAATCATTCAAAAACTACAGTTAGAATGGGACTAAACATCATTTTAACACTTAGTTATAACTAGCAACAAAAATTTCAGAACAAATAAGTCAAAACAAATAAGTCATAACAACTAAGTCAATGTCCCTCCGTAAGAATAAATTTCGAACATAATTAAGAACAAGAGGCCCATGGGCAACATCGCTCACCTGAGCATTGTGGCTAGGAAAAAGTAGAAATTGGTTTATTATTGAAAAGTTTAAATCCAAAAGTAGTCCCATGACCAGTCATGGCTTTGCTATTCTTGAGAAGAAGATTCTTAAAGAATTTTCCTATATATGTCTATATAAAACTTTGATAGGCCATTTTGGCCCCGCCCTATCCCCGGGAGTCATGATATGAACAAACTTGAATCTACACTACCTGAGGATGCTTCCATATAAATATAATCAAATTGCTATTCTTGAGAAGAAGGTTTTTAAAGAATTTTCCTATATATTTCTGTGTAAAACTTTGATCGGCCATTTTGGCCCCGCCCTATCCCCGGGGGTTATGATTTGAACAAACTTGAAACTACACTACCTGAGGATGCTTCCATATAAATATGATCAATTATGGCATTGCTATTCTTGAGAAGAAGATTTTTAAAAGATTTAACCTATATATGTCTATGTAAAACTTTGATCGGCCATTGTGGCCCCGCCCTATTCCCGGGGGTCATGATTTGAACAAATTTGAATCTATACTACCTGAGGATGCTTCTATATAAATATGATCAATTATGGCTTTGCTTTTCTTGAGAAGAAGATTTTTAAAGAATTTTCCTATATATTTCTATATAAAATTTTGGTCGGCCATTGTGGCCCCGCCCTTCCCCCGGGGGTCATGATTTGAACAAATTTGAATCTACACTACCTGAGGATGCTTCCGAATAAATATGATCAATTATGGCTTTGCTATTCTTGAGAAGAAGATTTTTAAAGAATTTAACCTATATATTTCTATGTAAAACTTTGATCGGCCATTTTGGCCCCACCCTATCCCCGGGGGTCATGATTTGAACAAATTTAAATTTACACTACCTGAGGATGTTTCCCCATAAGTTTCATCTTTCCTAGCACACTGGTTCTTGAGAAGAAGATTTTTAAAAGATACCACCAAATTTTCACTAATTCCCAATTATCTCCCCTTGAATGAGGGTGTGGCCCTTCATTTGAACAAACTTGAATCCTCTTCACCCAAGAATGCTTTGTGGCAAGATTGGTTGAAATTGGCCCAGCGGTTCTTGAGATGTCGAAAATGTGAAAAGTTTACAGACAGACAGACGGACGGACGCCGGACAAAATGTGTTCAGAAAAGCTCACCTGAGCCTTCGGCTCAGGTGAGCTAAAAAGGCATTCAAGATTGATCTAAAATATTCAGTTTTTTAGTTCCAAAAATTGTTAACTTTTTGCATGCCAAACCACAGACAGAATCTTTGGCAGAGCTTGGACTCAGAGCAACTTCGTTCTGGGGTGAACATGACAAAAACATAGTTA